CACTGTAAGTCACCCTACCCCTCACTCCCCTCCCCCTCCTCCCCTTAAAAACCTGTTAGTTTTAGCATTTGCTCACTACTGAGCAATAGAACGGTTTTGTATCAACTTCATATTGTAAGAATGGAACAGGGACAAGAGGCTGTTATGCTATACGCCCGCGTTATTCAGCACTTTCAGCACATGATTTCAAGCGGAAGTCAGATGCTTGGCGCTGCTCGAAGCTCCACTGTCATTGACGAGGACTTTATGATTTATCATTGTGTCTCTAGAAAATTTCTACGCTTGTTTAAGGCTGGTGATTCATGCGAACGAGAAATCGACGCCACCGATCCGCTACGTCCGTCGGCAAACGAACTCAGCGGTGCCAAACTGCTTCTGCGGAAAGCCATAAAAGAGGTACGGTAACAGCAAATAGGTAGCTTCATCGAGCTGTTATGATCACAACTACTCGGCTAATCGTCCGTATTTTCCTGGAAAACGTTTGAAAGGAAAATATTTGTCAAACGGTCATAAATGTGCAAATGAACAAAAGAAATTCATAGAATGGGAGGGTCACCAAATTCGCAGCGTAGCGCCGGTCACTGCAACAGTAGGACGATGGCTTCGGGAAGCAGGGTACAGCATCGTGATGTGTGAAATGGTGGTGTCGGTACGACCCCCCCCCACCTAAGAGAGGGTCTCGGTGCGACCCTTCCTTCCATAGAACCTACCTAACAGTTTCCCCACATTGTCCAGTTTCGCACCCAAAGATTTTCCGTCGAGCGGAGCGAGGGTGGGGGGGGGAAGGAGGGGTGGGGTAAATAGTCCACATGAAACAAGAAAAATCACGCGCAACAGGGCAAGTTTTTCCCAAAGCCACGTAAGGACCGCCTCTTCCAACAACTACTTAGATGCGATCCCTCCCCAGGCGGAAAAGTGCGACCCCCCCCCTTATGTGTTTCACACAACAATGTGCTGTACCCTATGGGGAAGCTAAACAGGGACGGGACGGGAACATTGCTGGTGGGTGAAAAGAAGTGATAACAGCTGATGATGTTTAATAACAGGTGCTAGAAACTCATGGCGCCGGTGACACCCACAGATGGACGTCGCTTCCAATAATAGATAGAGGGAGGGGCGGGGATATTATGGGTGGGTGGAAAGGAGAAGAAGAAAGAATGGCAGCTGATAGAACTTTACGAGCTCTAGAAAGGGACATCACCAGATTCATCACGGGTCCGATAAGGAGCGTTAGAAAGGGAGGGGTGTTTCGTTCACAGCGCAGGTCACAGCAACAATGGGACGTTGGCTTCAAGGATTTGTGGAATGTCCGTCGAGTGACAGAAGCGGCTCCAAGAGCGGATAAGCTTATTGAAGGAGGGGCTCGAATTCAAGCCCCGCTGCACCAACGGCACCATGGTTCCAACAATTGGCGTAGGGTGTGGGATGGCGACATTGACCGTTTGTGAAAGAATGTGATATCAACAGATAACAAGACGTCACTAACAAGTTTTCACTGCAAAACACTGCTCATGAAAACAATCTCGTCGATAATTCACCAATTACCAAGCTCTCAGTAATTGGAACACGACTCATTTCTATTCCCTTATCATCTGGGATCATTAATCACGTCACATCCCACCGCTAAACTAACTGGATTGCTGAAGCAAAGTTGTTGTTTACGGAGAGATAATGTGGAGCATTAAACGACTTTATCACTGATTCGATGACTGCCGTTCATCAACAACATTAATGAGTACCGTTTAAGCGATGTACTGCAGTGGGAGGGGGGGGGGGGAGGAACATGGAGAATTAGAACGCTTTAGCTGCTAATTTAGTGGGTTACTTAGATCCCTACATAAGTATTGAGGTAGTTTCCTGGCTAACTCTTGATGAAAAACAGACAAAGTGAACAACGAGAGAACCGATCATTTCATGGAACATCTCAAATATTCTATGATCAGCTGGCGAATTGTCTCAAGACTAGATCTGTTCACGTTTAGCAATCACCTGATACTCAACCTACAGTGCCTGGACAAGTGGTACGGAATCACAAGCTGGTGAAAACGACAGTTGACTCGAAGTGAGTTCTTACAGAAAACTCCTGACCATTGGCAAATGTACAAAATAATGATCACCCAAACTTCACAGTACAGCTAACTAGTAGCGATCATTTCGGGATGTGCGGGATGTACGCTGGAAGCGTTTTTCCGTGCCAACAAAAACCTTCGTAACCTTCGTAGGATTTCGGAGGAGGGCGGGGAGGAGAATCCAGGTTTGAAGGCACGGTCCGCGATCAGGTATCGAAGTTGAAAATATGGCGTCAGGAGGTTAGAGTGGTCCGCGACGAACAACCTTGTACCGGTTTCGCGGCAAAAAATTCTATGGGAGGGGCTGTAGCGCAATATAGGTTCAGTGGCTCCTCCTTTTTTCCAGTGACTCCGCCTCCAGACTCCGCCCCTAATGACTTCCAGTGAAAAATGAGATTGCAGGACGAAAAAGCATGATAATCGCCACTTGTACGATCGTAGAAATCTTATCGGTGAATCAGCCGTGCATATGAGGGCGTAGTTTTGGAGATAGAGTTGATTGGGCACGTACAAACTGGGATCGAAATGGGGTTCTATCTAGGGCAGGTGGCATGTTTTTTGTGCTTTTTTTGTTCACAGTCGAGTTACTCAACCCCTTGTCGTCTATATGGAACCCCCTAATCCACCATCTGAGATGGCGAGTAATCGCGGGTTCTTCCTTCTTCCTTTGAAGGACTTGCACAAGTTTTATTGATTTTGGGATGTTAGTGAATCCTTGAGGTGGAGTTGGTGTAGTGGCAAAAGGCACGCTTAGCGAGCGCGCAGTCCAGCACTCTAATTCCTTGTCGGCTTCCGCCCAAGCTAGACGTCTTTCCTCCGTGGATGCTCTGTTGGTATCATTTTTCTATAAGAGGACAGGGACACTGAATTCTACATCGGCTGCCCCCCCCCCCACAAGTCATTCAGTTACGGGCTACGATAAGCTTTTACGGTCCTGAATGGAAGAATAATGCGTTGCGCATCCCAAAAAGGATTGATCAATGGTGAAGTCTCAGTGCCTTCGTTGATGAATCTCGACTGCTTACCCTATAAACCTCTCAGGAAGCAAATGTTGTGGTTTCTACTTTACGACAAAATAGTGTGATCTTTCCATTTGAGAGCAACTAGAGAATGATGCACCACAGAGTGATGTACTACAGGTAGTAGACCCTAGGTGGTGCTGCAGTATCACCATCAATGGTGGAAGTCATCTGTGCTGCATCTCTTATCGTTGGAAGGTTTGATCCAGTACCTATCCTTCTACCAGTGAACTGGAAATGCTGTCCCGTCTTTTAACACCAGCACATTCTTTGCCTTCATCTGGGTGACTGCGACTGATGAAATTGCCCCCTAGAATCACTGGTCTCTTAGCGAGCACGATAAAATATGACAAATATCACGGCCTTTACAAGAGCTGATTAGAGTTTCTAGAGCCAACGGCCATTTTCCTTCCTCAAAACCACCGTGTTTTGTTAATATTTATTGATTAGTTCCGATTTTTGGGACATTCTAGGCGAGGAAGAAGCAGTGAACCACGTTTGGGTACTGCTGCATCGCAGCACACATTTGTAATCGAGACGGAACGCCGTAGACCGCTGTTGCTGCCTGTCGGGCTCACGGAGGGTAGGTCTTACTTTTTCATTCACCTCCATTACTATGTTGAGCCACCGATCTGGCTGCGTTTCCTACCAATAGTGGCCGGTTCACCTAGAGGACAGAGAGAGCTAGAAAACGTAACGGGTAGGCTCTTTCCACGCCCGTTGACACCGCCGCATTTGAAAAATAGGGTACTATGAGTGTTCAGGTGCACTGGAGTACAGAAAAGCTCAGGAGGCGCTGCGAAAAGCCAGAGAACAAGAGGAGAAGCGTTTGCAGCGTGAACAGGCTGAACGAGAAGCTGCTGAAGCAAGGGAACGAGAGAGGTAAGCTTTATTCACCGTCTTGAAGGCGGAATTCGTCAATTGATCGAGCTTTACAGTATGACTGAGTAGAATATCAATTGTGATGAGTAAGTGGGATGAGGAGTGAA